AATTGGAAAAAAAAAAAAAAAAATGTAAATAGTGAGAGGTGCTTCACACTGGGCATTCACCCCTCCATTGGCCCTGCCTAGTGTTAACCCTCTCATCATTTGGGGGCCCTTGCTCAGTGCAGTGCATTTCCTTTGGAAAGCAGCTGCTACTTTATAAAGAAGCTTTCTAGGAATGGACCCGGGGTCTTCTGAGTGAGGTGAAACAAGAGGAGAGAGTCCGACAGCAGAGAATAGCAGTTCTCTTCCATAGGCACCAAAGTCCATGAATAGACGTTGCAAAAGCAAGCGGTGCTTTGGACGCCTTCCCGAGGCAGCATGGACTTGGCTTACATCTGTGAGTGGGAGAAAAGGCCCAAAAGCAACCACTGCCCTTCAATTCCACTGGTTTGTGCTTGGTCCTGCAGGAACCTGATTGCGTTCACAACAGACCTCAAAAATGAAGAGGAAAAAGGTAGGGCAAAACTGTGTTTTTTATTTTCCTGAATGATGTCTTGCAATGGGAATTTTCCACGAAGAAGAGCGGTGTCCTGTTGTAGTCACCCCCCTAGCATTGCTTCTAGCTGGGAATAAAGCATTCAGAAAGGTGCTTTAGTGAATCCCAAAGTGATTTAAGAGCATAAGTCTCGTTGGCTTTGATTGCCTGGTGGTTGCGTGAGAGGGTTGTTTGCACATCTTATTTATTCTCCTTGCTGGTTGTAGATGAGGTTCTTTGGGTCGATGCACTATCTAAACAAAATAGCTGGAAGAATTGTTCTTTGCACCTGAACTAAACAGTTGGAAAAATTGTTCTTTGCAAGCTTTGGGGCACAAACGTCCTTTTTCGGGCATAGGGGAGAGTCTGTTGGTGTTTTGCGGGCTCCTTTGGGTAAACAACATGCGTGTTATCAGGAGTTGGGAAAAGCAGGTGGCCGCTGCGGTGGATGCGGCAGCAGCAATATTTCATCCTGGCACAGTGAATAAAAATGACTTTGGCATTTGCTGTTTAGGCTCCTCCATGGCACGGGTCTCTTTTTTCTGCTGCCTTCTGATTCAGCCGAGAAGAACCTTGCTTCAGTGACAAGTTTTCCCTTTTTCTGTGGTTCAACAGGCAGGAGAAAATGCAGTGGAAGGGATTGGGGATCCATCTCCAGGCACCATTGATTTATTGTTTGTGACCTTAATTCTGTTGTCAGATCCATGTGGATGGAACTGGGTGCCACTGGTTTCAGGGAGCTGAGGGGTCTGACTGCAAATGTTCAGTGCAGGGTCAGAGCCTGCTTAAATTGTTGTCAATAGGACATGTTATCCTGTTTTGGGGAACAACCAAGCCTCTCACCTTGTGAGACTCGCATGCTGGGCTTCTTGACAAGCAGGCTGCAGCCAGAAAACTTAGGCAGAGAGGTTTTCTAGGGTAGTGGTGGATTTCCCGTCTCTTGATCACTCGAGGTCAAAATCAGTGCCTTTCTAGAGGCTGTGCCTTAGTCATCTGGAATTGTGCTCAGTACAAGGGGAACCGGGCAAAGTTCTGTGGCCTGTAGTACACAGGCAGCTAGA